AGATAAAATTTTTCCTCATTTTTACCATTCTAAAATTTAAAATTTTCATCGTTGAACTTCAAATTTTTTCCCTGCAGCCCACTGAAAGATTTGGTTATGCCCGCCGGGACCCTTCCCGTTCTAAAGGGGAAGCACTGTCATGCAATTCAGGTGTCATCTGCAAAGGAAGACAGGGTGCTGTGGCTGACATCCTTGTCTAGTCGGATATGAGGATGGGAACAAGATGGGAGCGAGTACTGTGCCTTGTGGAACAGAGTTTTTCACCGTACTCCCCGGGACTTTACTCTGTTGCGACTACTCTCTGGTTCTGTTAGTGAGGAAATTATAGACCCATCGACCATTTTTCCTTTTTATTCCTTTTAAAGCGCGCTTTTTTGGCGCTTTTACCCCCATGGCACACTTGTCGAAGGCTTTTGCAAAGCTTTATATTAAATCTGCTTGGAGGGGGGAGAGTCCTGTCCAAGGGCAATGTGTGGTGAAAAATTTTATAAAAAAAATTCGGAGTGGGGAAATTTTTGGGAGAATGTGTGGAGTAATAAAACATTAGTCGGGGGCTGAAAAAGGGGGTTGTTGGGGTGGTTTTGGGTCATTTAGAGAGAAGGGATCAAAGTAGAATGACATGGAGAGCGTATAAATCTGTAGAGGAAGGAAGGCGGGGGGGGGTTCGTCCTCGAACGGGTTTGGGAGGGGGGGGGTAAAGGATTTTTTGTGGGCGGGGGGGTTTTGGACTCCAGAAAGCGTGCGTGACGTTTTTCGATGGGAGTGAAGGGAGACGAAGGTACTTGGGCCCTGACGATCTTTTGGGAGTGTGAGAAAGGGAATTTTTTAGGAAGGGTTTCAGGGAAAACCGGTTTTTTTCATATAGCGGACTTGATCCGGAAAGGGAAGTACAATGCCTCATTTTAAAAAGGAGGGTTTGGGGAATTTTGGCATTTTGGAGGGAAAAGTTGTTTATCTTATATGTTACTTCTAAACGTTTTATTTTGAGCACCCTGAAAAACAGGATTATTGTGAATGTGGTAAAGTGTTAATGATGAGAAAATATTTTTTTTTTTTTGGGGATTTTTTCTTGTTTTTGGTCACCTGCCTCGGGGGGAGACGGCCCCACTTTTTAAAAAAATATAATAACAGGGTAAGATCCTCCACACAATTAAAAGGCAACTCAACAATAATTTTCCTCTCGACAGGTTTCTGAGAACAGGTACAATTTTTTTTTTTGCTAGAAATAAGACTAAGAGAGCCAGCTTGACTTTCAACATCATTAATAACTTACTGCCAGAGAGGGAGACGCAACACAGTGAATCCTATTTATCACATGTTACACGTGGGACACGATAAATTATACATGGTACAGTAGTCATCAGACAGCACAGCAGTGAATATAATGGTTCGTACGTCGGTTTACCTGCGGCCAACAGTAACAGCCTGGTTGATCAGGTCCTGATCCACCATGAGGCCTGGTCACAGACCGGGCCGCGGGGGCGTTGACCAAAGGGAATGTTTAGCAACGCGTGTACCATACACCACCACACACATTAACATCTCATGAACATCAGAACTGACAACTTGTCATCAAGGAATCAATTATCGTTGCTACTCCCAATACCATCCCTCAAAACTAAATCAGTTTTATGATCTCGGAAATAAACACATCCTGTCTAAGCAGAACCCAACTATCACCTAACTACACCTTCAGGCAGTACCTGACCTGATCCTTTGTATATACTGTTTTTAATTCTCTGTACAGGATTACGCCAAACTTCTCCTTAAACCCTATTCACCGCATGTGTGTCTTACATATAAAGAATATATTGACAGAACTCACTTTTATAAATAAACAAGACCTCAGTGGAAATAAGTCACTTTGTCTGACTTTTTTGGGTTATCCTGGGTTCTCAACACATATATGTCTTGAACGCTATGTGCTTAATTCAACACATATATGTCTTGAACGCTATGTGCTTAATTGTCCACTTATTGAGGAATATAGAGATAGTGTAATAACCTATGTGACATGTCAGCATATCTTATTAATGAAAATAAGATAACAAATATACTAAGTAAATTTCCTGAATTTGCTTGTAACACATAAGTGAACTGTAGATGTGTAGATAAGCACGTTAAGAGACCATACAATAAGTGTCAGGGGCCCGAGACTGTTCAACTGCCTCCCAGCACACATAAGGGGGATTACCAACAGACCCCTGGCAGTCTTCAAGCTGGCACTGGACAAGCACCTAAAGTCAGTTCCGGATCAGCCGGGCTGTGGCTCGTACGTTGGTTTGCGTGCAGCCAGCAGCAACAGCCTGGTTGATCAGGCTCTGATCCACCAGGAGGCCTGGTCACAGACCGGGCCGCGGGGGCGTTGACCCCCGGAACTCTCTCCAGGTAAACTCCAGGTAATATAAATCCAAATGTACACCTGTTAACCTTTTTGGGGCCTAGTTCCTAGGCCTTTAGTGTATCAATATGCTCTTGTGCTACCGTCCACAGGATGGATATGGGGTGGCACAATAAACTAGCCACTTCGGTGGCAAAATGTAAAATAAATTTAATCTACACATATGCTGCTATGTATGATAATCTATGTAACTGTGTTTGTGTATACCTGAATAAACTTACTTACCATGAGTATGTGGTGCACTGCAGGCAGTACTGTTCGTGAGTATGGAGTAGTGGAGATGAGAGAGGGTGAGCAGCACACTGCAGGTCCCAGCGGTGAGCACAACCACAGTGTAGTGCTCAATTACAACGCTCGCCTGGCAGCCACTGTCAGCAAGGTCATCACGGAAGGTGGTCTCTGTGTCACACTTGGGGGAGACCACTCCATAGGCATCGGTACAGTCAGTGGTCACAGTCAAGCCAATCCTCATAACCAGGTGGGTACACCTGGGCCACTTGTACACATTTATCAGTAGAATTATTTTTATTAAAATTAAACGGAAAAGCGGTGTGGGTCATCCCTGGACCCATTACGTACCTCTGTAATCTTTTGACTACCGCCCATTGGATGGGTATGGGGTACATAATCAACATATTAAACTAACGTAAGAAACCATGATTACTGTGTTGCAGGTAGTGTTGTGGGTGGACGCTCACTTTACTGTGCTATAGGTAGTGTTGCTATGGGTGGACGCTCACTTTACTGTGTTATAGGTAGTGTTGCTATGGGTGGACGCTCACGCTGACCTCAACACTGGATCAACGTCTCCTAGTGGCAACATGCATGGGATGCCAGTGGCTTACCACTTGAAGGAGCTAGCTAGACGGGGTGTCAACCGCTTGCCTAACAGCTGGCCTCAACCACGGTCAGTATTTACCCTGCTTAACCTTTCAAGGAGGTACCTTGATGCCAGTGAGGGCCTCTTGATCTAAGGAGGTGGACCTGTTCTTCCTCTCCTTGGATCAGATCTGACTGCCTTCCATTCTCTCTTGCTGTATAGTCCTTGTGGCTTAGCGCTTCTTTTTGATTATAATAATAATAACTTCCATTCTCTCAGGCGCTGTGACCTCAATGGAATTAGCTCAATTTCCCCTCCCCAGTAGTTTTTATTATATTTTACTGATTAATAATAATTGATATAGGTATAATTATACTTTATAATTGCATAGCAACAAAAGTTATTATGAACATCAAAATGGTATACAATACCGACAGGTTGTTAGGTAAGACACATATGCAACAGTTAGACAACTTTATTCCGAAACGTTTCGCCTACACAGTAGGCTTCTTCAGTCGAATACAGAAAGTAGGCAGGAACAGTAGAGATGTGAAGACGATGTAATCAGTCCATCACCCTTGAAGTCGTAGAATTTGAGGTTGTCAGTCCCTCGGCCTGGAGAAGTTCAGTTCCATAGTTATTAATTACCTTTTGTAACTTGTTCAGCTATCAAAACTTTGGGGTCCAGTCCCTGGACCAATTATGTACCTCTGTAATGTTTTTGACTACCGCCCACAGGATGTATATGGGCTGCATAATAAACATATTAAACTAAACTATAGTCATCATCAGTACTATTATTTCTGATGTATTGTATGGTGTTTGCAGGTTGTCAGCCAGACACTTGGCTTACATCGGCCTTCGTGACCTCGATGATGGAGAAGTGTAAGATTGCCCTTTATTCTGTTCATATACACTAAACTTGAAACCATCCATTTTTTATGTACAGTCTATGGTAGAAACTACCCAGTGTTTATAAAGTCTATGGTAGAAACTATCCAGTGTTTATATACAGCTGTGGTAGAAACTATCCAGTGTTTATATACATTCTATGGTAAAAACATCCAGTGTTTATATACAGTCTATGGTAGAAACTATCCAGTGTTTATATACAGTCTGTGGTAGAAACTATCCAGTTTTTTATATACAGTCTATGGTAGAAACTATCCAGTGTTTAATATACAGTCAATGGTAGAAACTATCCAGGTTTATATACAGTCTATGGTAGAAACTACCAGTGTTTATATAGCTAGGGTAGAAACTATCCAGTGTTTATATACGTTTATGGAAAGAAACTATCTAGTGTTTATATACAGTCTATGGTAAAACATCCAGTGTTTATAGTCTATGGTAGAAACTATCCAGTGTTAAAATACAGTCTACGGTAGAAACTATCCAGTGTTTATATAGTCTATGGTAGAAACTATCCAGTGTTTAATAGTCTATGGTAGAAACTATCCAGTGTTATATACAGTCTATGGTAGAAACTATCCAGTGTTTATGTCCGATCTATGGTAGAAATTAGTTTTTAAATGTCCAATTTATGTGGAAACTGTCCATGTTAATGTCCAAGCTACGGCAGAAACCTACCAGTGTCCATTTTTTTGAAGTTTTCATTGTACTTGTGAAACCTATGCTTGTTTTTGTCCAACTTCTTAAATTTATCTTTGTAAATATGTCGACACGTCATCTAGCATACATTGTTAATTTGTGGGTGAGTTGTAAATTTTTACAGCTACAGTATTAACCTTTGTTTTAAATTCGAGATTTTATATTTGCTAACATTTTTACATAAATATAATCATTTGGAAAAAAGCTCCATAATCTGCACAGCATTTCTGATAACAACGATGTCGATGTTGATATTACGTCGTCCGGCAGGAAGTTCCTAGAGGAGTTGGGAATCCTGGCGTTTGGGATGAGAGATTTGGACGCAGTTGGCCTCAACAACGCCATCTGTCGCTGCCTGGATCACTTGCAACCTGGTGCCTCCCGGCCTCTCCACCTTTCCTTCGACATAGATTCTCTGGACCCCCTCGAAGCTCCTAGTACTGGCACTCCAGGTGTGTGAGGGACAAGAGACAATACAGAGTTGCCGAGAAATATAAGTTAAATCTACGTAATTTATCACTAATATATCCATATAGCAATAATGTGATCATTAAAATTATTACATTAGTGTATAGTAAACCTGACTGAATCTTACAAGGACCCCTAAATCCATTTGTCTGACCTTTTTGTGTTATCCTAGGCAATTTACACTATGTATGATAATTGTACTTACTTGTACTTAATCTTTGTGTTGGACAGTACGAGGTGGTCTGAGCCTGCGGGAAGGTCTGCAGATCACGGAAGCTGTAAGAGAGACTGGTCACCTGCGATGTATGGATATTGTGGAAGTGAACCCTCATCTTGGCAACCCAGATGATGCTGTCCTCACAGCTAATGCTGCTAGACTCATCCTCCTCAGTGCTTTACATGGCTACAGGGGAGCATAGTAATTGATCTACATGGCTACAGTGGAACACAGTAACTGTGATCTACATGGCTACAGTGGAACACAGTAACTCTGATCTACACGGCTACAGTGGAACATAGTAACTGTGATCTACACGGCTACAGTGGAACACAGTAACTGTGAGCTATACGGCTAGTGGAACACAGTAACTGTGATCTACACAACTACAGTGGAACACAGTAACTGTGATTTACACAACTACAGTGGAACATAGTAACTGATCTACACGGCTACAATACAGCAGAATAAGCAGTAAATTTTGAGGTTACGATGTTTCATAGCGTCATATGTATCTTTGGCGCTGCTATAAACCCCTGTAATCTAGAAAATATACTGCTTGCTATGCTTCATTGTATCAGTATAGATCACGATTCGAATGACAACCATAGTGGGATCTGATATTATGTATGTGGTAGGAGAAAATTCTCAAACAGCTTCAGGGAGACCCTCGAGTTTTTCCTGAAGCAAGTTTATTCTTTTCTCCGAGGATGAGGGTTCCCAGGAAAGTTCTAGAGGTGGTACCTCCCTGTATTTTATATATATAAAATATATATATATATATATATAATATAAAATATATATAATATATATATATATATTATATTAATCATAGTCCCCATGGTCCAACGTTTTAAGTTTCTGCCTTGCCTCAGAATTTACCCCTATTATATATTGCTAGTCCTGCAACATTGCAAAGCTCCTGATGAGACACAGAGTGTGAAAGATCTTGAGCTAAAGATTCCCATCCCCATGTGGCTTTTTCTTCATTGTTATGATTGCGTATTTGCGACTGCATTGCTACTTGAGCAAGACTCCATCAGGCATTGAGCAAGATCGGAGAAAATCAACTTTAAAAACTAGATCTAAACAAAAGCTAAACATTACACTAGTATTGTAATAACTTTGTATTACAGCTATGACAATTATATGTTTGGACTACAAAGGACTGGTAATTCAATAGATTTCACATCTTTAAACTTTGTGGAAAATTGCATTTTTCTGAATGTATCATTATGTACATAACAGTAAATGAATAAAAATAATTATTATTTATCAGTTAGACAAGTAGGAATTTGGGACACCTAGGTCGCAAAAAATGTCCCCCTTCGATACCTACCACTGTCACATCCACAAGTTGCTCTGGACCTATTAATTACAAATGAAATATGTATCACCAGGAATGCTGGTAAATATATAAATTTGTGGACTGTATATTATAATTAATAAATGATTATCTATATACACAGATCACAACATAATTGAGGTTCAGACATGTATGCGTGGAGCCCCAGACCGACATAATGAGACTAGTCACGAGGCAGCATTCACCAAATTCAACTTCAATAACAAAAACAAAGTGGGACCAAGTAAACCAAGTCCTAACCGATATAAGCTGGGAAGATATACTAAGCAACACAGACCCCAACTTATGCCTAGAACAGATTAACTTGGTGGCACTCGATGTATGCACAAGGCTTATTCCTCTAAGAAAAAGGAGGAGTAGATGTAAAATAGAAAGAGACAGGCGCTCCCTTTACAGGCGACGGAAAAGAATAACAGAGAGGCTAAAAGAGGTCAATATATCTGAAATGCGTAGGGAGACACTGGTCAGAGAAATAGCAAGCATCGAACTAAGCTAAAGGAATCTTATAGGAGTCAGGAATCGCGGAAGAACTAAAACCATAAATGAAATCGAAAGAAACCCAAAGTATTTCTTCTCCTATGCCAAATCAAAGTCGAGAACAACGTCCAGTATTGGGCCCCTACTTAAACAAGATGGGTCCTACACAGATGACAGCAAGGAAATGATGAGCTACTCAAGTCCCAATATGACTCAGTTTTTAGCAAGCCGCTAACCAGACTGAGAGTCGAAGATCAAAATGAATTTTTTATGAGAGAGCCACAAAATTTTGATTGACACAAGCCTATCCGATGTTATCCTGACGCCAAATGACTTCGAACAGGCGATAAATGACATGCCCATGCACTCTGCCCCAGGGCCAGACTCATGGAACTCCTGTGTCATCAAGAACTGCAAGAAGCCCCTATCACGAGCCTTTTCCATCCTATGGAGAGGGAGCATGGACACGGGGTCGTCCCACAGTTACTAAAAACAACAGACATAGCCCCACTCCACAAAGGGGCAGTAAAGCAACAGCAAAGAACTACAGACCGATAGCACTAACATCCCATATCATAAAAATCTTTGAAAGGGTCCTAAGAAGCAAGATCACCACCCATCTAGAAACCCATCAGTTACACAACCCAGGGCAACATGGGTTTAGAACAGGTCGCTCCTGTCTGTCTCAACTATTGGATCACTACGACAAGGTCCTAAATGCACTAGAAGATAAAAAGAATGCAGATGTAATATATACAGACTTTGCAAAAGCCTTCGACAAGTGTGACCATGGCGTAATAGCGCACAAAATGCGTGCTAAAGGAATAACAGGAAAAGTCGGTCGATGGATCTATAATTTCCTCACTAACAGAACACACAGAATAGTCGTCAACAGAGTAAAGTCCGAGGCAGCTACGGTGAAAAGCTGTTCCACAAGGCACAGTACTCGCTCCCATCTTGTTCCTCATCCTCATATCCGACACAGACAAGGATGTCAGCCACAGCACCGTGTCTTCCTTTGCAGATGACACCCGAATCTGCATGACAGTGTCTTCCATTGCAGACACTGCAAGGCTCCAGGCGGACATCAACCGAATCTTTCAGTGGGCTGCAGAAAACAATATGAAGTTCAACGATGAGAAATTTCAATTACTCAGATATGGTAAACACGAGGAAATTAAATCTTCATCAGAGTACAAAACAAATTCTGGCCACAAAATAGAGCGAAACACCAACGTCAAAGACCTGGGAGTGATCATGTCGGAGGATCTCACCTTCAAGGACCATAACATTGTATCAATCGCATCTGCTAGAAAAATGACAGGATGGATAATGAGAACCTTCAAAACTAGGGAGGCCAAGCCCATGATGACACTCTTCAGGTCACTTGTTCTATCTAGGCTGGAATACTGCTGCACACTAACAGCATCTTTCAAGGCAGGTGAAATTGCTGACTTAGAAAATGTACAGAGAACCTTCATGGCGCGCATAACGGAGATAAAACACCTCAATTACTGGGAACGCTTGAGGTTCCTAAAACTGTATTCCCAGGAACGCAGGCAGGAGAGATACATGATTATATACACCTGGAAAATCCTAGAGGGACTAGTACCGAATTTGCACACGAAAATCACTCACTACGAAAGCAAAAGACTTGGCAGACGATGCAACATCCCTCCAATGAAAAGCAGGGGTGTCACTAGCACATTAAGAGACCATACAATAAGTGTCAGGGGCCCGAGACTGTTCAACTGCCTCCCAGCATACATAAGGGGGATTACCAACAGACCCCTGGCAGTCTTCAAGCTGGCACTGGACAAGCACCTGAAGTCGGTTCCTGACCAGCCGGGCTGTGGCTCGTACGTTGGTTTGCGTGCAGCCAGCATCAACAGCCTGGTTGATCAGGCTCTGATCCACCAGGAGGCCTGGTCACAGACCGGGCCGCGGGGGCGTTGACCCGGAACTCTCTCCAGGTAAACTCGATACATAGCAGGAGAATATCTTAAAATCACTCACCAATTTGACTGGAGATTAATGTGTATTATACCCAGAAAACCTCACTGTCTAAATTTATGAAATTACTGGCCAGAATTAAACATAAACAGACTTATCTGAGGTTCCTGGAGCCGTGTTGTCCAGTCGCCTGATACTCAAATTATGCAGGAATGCACATCCAACAATTTCGCCTCCTATTTGAAAGGTGTCAGCCCAATTTTAACCTCTAGAGCACGAAAAATTCGTCCCATTCGCTCTAAGCAGCAACAGCCTGGTTGATCAGGCTCTGATCCACCAGGAGGCCTGGTCACAGACTGGGCCGCGGGGGCGTTGACCCCCGGAACTCTCTCCAGGTAAACTCCAGGTAACGTTCTGTTCAATTCAAAACCAAGATGGCGAGTCTCGTCTGCCCAGACGCAGGCTTTCCGTTTTCTATCATATAAATATTATTAAATACAGTATGGCCATCTATTTACATATAAATACTGAATTTCTGGAAAATATATACAGTATTTTCCACAAACTTCATGAGACATTGTGTAGGGAACTTAGATTGAAATATAACTAACTCATTTGGGGTTAAATTCTTACAACTATATTTTGTTAGTTTTTTTTAAGAGAAGTTACTATTGTTTATGAAAGTAATTGGGAAATAAAGAACTGATCTGTTATTAGTAATTTTTTGATTCTGGAGGCTGCGATACAGGATCTGGACTGCTGGTACTTGTTTGGAGCTGCCAAATAAATTTTAATGATCCAAGAATTCCTCCTGCAGATCTTCTGGAACACTATAAACATCTGCTGTGAATGAATTCCTGATGCAAGATGATGACCAATCTCTTGTCCTATCCACTTCGGGAAAGTATCGCTGGAGTTCATCCCGCAGCTTCCGTAAATGATCGAGAATTAGCATTCGAATGATTTCTCCCCGATCATGGCATCCAGGCATCGATACTGAGCTAAAGCCTTCATCATGCTTTGGTGAGAAAATAGATTTACAGCGTTTCCATGCAGCTGAAGATTCAGTTTGCTCAAGATTCCAGATATATCGACTAGATACGCAAGTTGTAGATTCGACTCCATCAACATATTTCGGAATTCCTCTTCCCCCATGAGCATGAAGAAATAAATCCTCTCTGTTGAGTACGATCTCTGCTGACAGCCACCATGCAGCAGTGGTGAACAGTAACATCAGAATTGGAACCCATGTGGCAAAATATTTTGAAGACAGCCAATGATTTAATGTAATTAACCGCCTTCATCAAACCCTTTTGTCATTGGAGCTCGTTGTTTCACCATCATTTAGAGGTCTGAGCTTGAGTCCAGCATGGCAGGTGCACCATCAGTGGTGATACCCACAAGACTGACCCAATCCAAACCATGTTCTTCAAAGAAATTATTTGTAATTTCGAACACATTCTCAGCGATTGTGATGATATCAAGAATCTTACGTAAAAAAATCTCATCTTTGAAGTTTGTCTCATGTATGTATCGTGCGAACACCAGTAGTTTAGAACACACTGTGACATCAATCGATTCATCCAATTGTATATCAACAAACAATGGGACTTCTCTACTCCATACACAACTTGGTCACTGATGTTCTGTGATATATAATTTATCAGTCTCAATACTGTGTCATTAGAGACAGATACATAAGCTAGCTTCCTCGCCAAGGACAAGCCGCACCATCTCTGGCACAGGGGACCACAAGTTCCTTTACAATCGTATGAGGTTTCTTGACTTCTGCAACTTTGTATATACTACAGGAAGCGCACCTTGTATTCCTTGTCTTTTCGAAGAATACACTTGTTGAGTGGAGGAGCTGCCGCTTCCCATCTGATAACCGCCGCTTAAAATAATCTTCATCTAGCTTTTGCAAGTTGGGGTGACACTTTTCTATATGAAGTT